TTCTGAAGAAGGGTCTAGGCCCGAAACGTCAGCCTTCCTGCTCCTCTGATGCTGCTTGGCCTGCTGTGTTCATCCAGCTCTACACCTTGTTATCTCTTTACTTAATATTTGGATTGTTTGGATTTGAAGGCAGATTGGTGAGTTTGGTATCATTTGACTGAACAGGACGCACCATTGGTAGCAGTAGTTTCACTGATGTCTCTATGGAAATTGTTCAACTCGTGGTCCCTTCCTGAATGTGTCAGTGTACCGCATGGAAATTTAGAGCAATTCCATGAAAATTGAAGCCAGAGGGCATGAATAATCCTAAAACAATTGTACTTTCTGAAATGTAGGTGCAAAGCAACTCTAGTAAGGGAGAAAACACAAAATGAAGACAGGAAGAAATCTATATTTCTAACAGTTTACCAGATCAGGAAAATGTCTTAAGTCTGAGACATTGGGTTAAATTGTATGGGGAAGCTGTCTACTTGCCTCATGCTACACCACCCCTCCCAACTAAAATGTTGAAGAAAACACATCTGCCCTACAATGACATTATGCTACAGATGATATTAATAAGGGCAGAGTGGGTCTTCCACTCCTCAGTAGGAAGAAGACCACTCTCAGAGCTACAATCACACTAATTGGCAGCAGATCCTGCAGTCCCAACAAGGGCCCCGTTGACACTTGGAACAACATAAGTAAATACTGTTAGACATTGAGAGATGTGCATCCTGGCGGGGAGCGGGGGAGGTAGCTTGGGGGGATGGCATATGGTATACTTTTTCCAGTGTAGGCAGGGAGGAAGAAAGGAGGACAATCTATCTTAAGGAGTTGTGCCCCTTTTGCACAAAAGTCACCCCTCAAATCTAGCACCCCCACATCCTTCCCATTGTACTAAAAAATGAATTGTCCACTCTGACCTGTCAGGCCAATCTAACCATATTATGACACGGATAGGGTAACGTTGGGGTCACTTGTGCACCATACCATCAGAGTGAACTCAGGCTGAGTGGGAAGGTGGTGGGCTAGACACACAACTTACTTTACGGGCTCATGTACCATGTTGCTGAAAACATGTCCCGTGGGAGCATATAAAATTCAACCTGTGGACACTTCCTCTGTCTCCATAGATGCTTACAGATCTGTTAAGTATTTCCTGTACTTTTATATTAACTAAGTTAAAGAAATGCGTTTTAATGAAACACTTAAGAAAGTGAGGCAATATAAACTGAAATGGCCCATTTTCAAAAGGAATGCTAAAGCTTCAAGACCTGAGCTGTATGTACATAAATCTTTGAAAGTGCAGAACAAATTGAGAAAGCTGTTAAAAAGCAAATGAAATTCTTGGTTTTATTGATTCAGCATAGAAATAAGAAACAAAACAAGGAAGTTAATTCTTTATAAAATCCTGGTAAGGTCTCATCTAGAGTATTGTGTCCAATTGTGGACACCTACAGACTGTTCTTAAAATAGGGGACTAAAGGCATCCCTTAACAGAGATGGGTTTAGTCACCCTGAATTGGATAAATATTTGAAAAGGAAATATTTGCAGGATTGTGATGAAAAAGCAGGGGAGTGGAACTCATTAGTTTCACAAAATTAGCACAGGAAAAATGGGCTGAATGACTTCCTCTTGTCATGTAAGATTCGATGAGAGCAATAGGTTTATAAGACAAAGAGGAGAGACGTTGCCTGTACTGCATCACTCCTACCTGTGTGTCTATGTACAATGCATAAAATTTCAAGTTTTATTTTTTTTCGGACAGAATACATTTATACAGCTCTCCCTGGCTTTTAAGAATGATAGTTATACATTGGAAGCAAGGCTGGGTCTGGCAGAGAGAGCGAGAAACCTTGCTGAGGAAAATACAGAAAAGGAACTCGAAAACTTCAAAGCAGAGATGAAGGTGAGAAACACTACTCATGAATCCACTGATGTCAATCTTTGCGCACACAAACATAACTTTCTAATCCAATATGTCTGATGGGAATGAGGCTCCCTTAGGACATAATTCTAATAATCTTTGTACACTTCCCCATTACCGTTGTTGAAGGTTCCATAAGCAGGATTCAGGCAAAACTCCAGCAAAATCAATTTCAATGGACTGGACATTGTGTCTGTATAATCGAGAAGTATCTCCTCTGCAAGATCCTGTTTTCACAATTCTCAAGTGGCCAATGTTCCAGAGGAGGAAGAGAAAATGCTTCAAAGATAATGAAAACCTCTCCTTGAAGCACAGCAGCATTGACTTTTATTGGGGGAAAGTGCTTGCTACCAATCATTCAAAATGGAAGCATTCCGTCCTCCAAACTACATCATACTTTAAGTCACAATTTCAAAATGAGGCAGAATGGTGGCAGAGATGGGCATCCAACATCGAGAGGTAAATGCTGGGCCAGCACTTGACGGGTTGCTAGATCCTATTCGGAGCTAGGAATGACTCAATCATTGTATTGCAAATCATTTCTAAATGACATCTAAGCAAGTTGCATCTGTACAGCACCTCTAAAATACTGAACATCCCAAGACACCACACAGGAGCAAAACCAGGCAACTGTAACACCTTTTTGAGAGAGAGAAACCTTGCTTTTCAGAAGAGTAGGGATATTGTTTCTAGTGATCTGGAAAATATCTGTCTTTCAAATAGCACTACTTTAAAGCTCAGTATCATTAATCACATTACTGTTTATGGGTCCTTGCTGTGCACATTAATTAGTGGGATGTGGGCATTTCTGGCTCGGACAGCACTTATTGCTGATCCATGGTTGCCCTTGTGAAGGTGGTGGTGAGCTGTCTTCTCAAAGATACACCTACAGTGCTGTTAGGGAGGGAATTCCAAGTTCCAGGATTTTGAAGCATCAACAATGATGGAATAGTAATATATTTCCAAGTCAGGATGATGAGGGGCTTGAAGGGGAACTTGAACATAGTGGTGTTTCCATATGTCTGCTGTCCTTGTCCTTCTAGATGGAAGTGGTCGTGGGTTTGAAAAGGGCTGTTTGAGGATCTTTGGTGAAATTCTGCAGCACGTCTTGTTGCTGGTGCACACTGCTGCTACTGAACAGTGGGAATGGATGGAGTGAAGGTTTAAGGTGGTGGACATGATGTCAATCAAATGGTGTCAAGCTTCTTGAGTGTTGTTGGAGCTGCACTCATCCACTGCCCCTATAGCCCCAGTATTTATTTGGCTAGTCCAGTTTCTGGTCACTTGTAACCCCTGAGATGTTGAAAGTGGGGAATTGCTAAACCATTGAATGTCCAAGGGTGATGCTTAGATTATCTTTTATTGGAGATGGTCATTATCTGGCACTAGAGCAAGTGTAACTTGCCCCTTGTCAGCCAAAGCCTGGATATCGTCCAGGACCTGTTACATTTTAACATGGACTGCTTCAGTATCTGAGGAATGGTGAATGGTGATCAACATTAAGGAATAACCAGCAAACATCCCCACTTCTGACCTTATGATGGAGGGAAAGTCATTGATGTAGCAGCTGAAGATGGTTGAGCCTAGGCCACTATCCTGAGGAACTCCTGCAGAGATATCCTGGAGCTGAGATGATTGACCAGCAACAACCACAATCATCTTCCTATGTGCCAAGTATGATTCCAAACAGTGGAGAGTTTCCCCACAGCTCCCAATTCCCATTAACTCTAGCTTTGCTAGGGGTCCATGATGCCAGACTTGGTCAAGCGCAGCTTGGTGTTAAGGGCAATAACTCTCACCTCTCTTCTGGAATTCAGCTCTTTTGTCCATGTTTGAACCAAGGCTGTAATGAGGTCAGAAAGTGAGTGGCCCTGACAGAACGTAAACTGAGCAACACTGAGCAGATTAATGCTATGTACGTGGTGCTTGATAGCACAGTTGATGCCATCTTCCATCACTTTATGATGATCGATAGTAATTTCACGGGTTGGATTGGACCTTTTTATGTAGAGGACATGCCTGGGCAATTTTCCACATTTCTAGCTGAATGCCAGTTTTGCAGCTGTACTGGAACAGCTTGGCTAGGGACACAGCAAGTTCTAGAGTACATGAATCCAATACTACTGCTGGAATGTTGTTAGGCTTTTGCAGTGTTCAGTGCCTTCAGCCATTTCTTTTGTGGAGTGTATTGAATTGACTGAAGACTGAGAACTGTGTTGCTGGGGACATGTGGAGGAGGCTGCAATAGATCATCCACTGGGCACTTCTGGGTGAAGAATGTTGCAAGTGCTTCAGCCTTATCTTTTGCACTAATTTGGTGGGATCCCTCACCATTCAGAATAGGGATATATGTGCAGCCCTCTCCTCCAGTGAGTTGTTTGTCCACCACCATTCACAATTGGATATGGCAGGACTGCAGGAGATTAGATCTGGTCTATTGTTTATGGAATTGTTTAGGTCTGAATATCACTTGAGGCACCCATGTAATTCAGTGATGTAGCTTCACCAGGTTGACACCTCATTTTTAGGTATGCTCCTGACACGCCCTGGACTCCTCATTGAACTAGGGTTATTCTCTGGTTTGACAGTAATGATAGAGTGGAGGATTTGCTGGGCCATGCGGTTGCAGATTGTGCTGGAGTACAATTCTACTGCTGCTGATGGCTCACAGCACCTCATGGATGCTAGATCTGTTTGAAGTTTATCCTATTTAGCACTTATCCCATTTAGTAATGCCACACAATAAGATCCTCAATGTGAGGACTGAAGCTAGTCTCCAAAAGGACTTTGCAGTGGTCACTCTTACTGATAACATCATGGATGCATCTGTGGTAGACAGATTGGTGAGGGTAAGTTCAAATTGCAGATCCAGTCTAGCAGCTATGCCCTTTCGGATTTGACTGGCTCTGTCAGTAGTGGCACTGCCAAGCCACACTTGGTGATGGAATTTACCAATCTACTCCTTCCATGCATTCTCCAACATGGAGGAGTACTGATTTATCAATTGAGGAAAATCGAAATGTGGTAATCAGGAGGAGGTTTCCTTGACAATGTTTGACTAGATTCTATGAGACTTCAAGGGGTCTACAGTCAATGTTAGGGACTCCTACAAAAACTCCCTCCTGACTGTATACCACAGCGTCACCACCTCTGCCCCTGGGATAGGACATACCCAGAGGTGATGATGGACGTTATTAGGTATGATTCCGTGAGTATGACTCAGTCAGAATGTTGTTTGACCAGTCTATGGGACGATTCTTCGGCACGGTGTTAGGGATTTCTGTACTGTAGGGATTTTGTTCTGCAGGCCTGAGTTTGTTGTGGTTCTTTCTGATGCTTAGGTCAATGCTAGGTCGTTCATCAGGTTCATTTCTTTCTTAAGATTTTTTAGTGATTTGATACAACGGAGTAGCTTTCTTAGTCTTTTTGGAGGCCTAGCAGTTAAGAGTGAACCACATTTCCACTATGGATATGGAGTGACATGTTGGTCAGTCATGATAGTAGATTTCATTTCTGACAATACATTAGCAAGTCAGAAAGGTTTTTACAACGATCAATTCACGGTCATCACTAGATTTTTTTTAAAAATCCACATTTTATTGAATTCAAATTTCATCAACTGCCAAGATGGGATGCAAACTTGGGTCTCCAAAACATTTCCTATTTCACTGGAATACTAGCTCAATCACAACACCACTGTCCCATCACCTCTCCCTGTTTCTTGCATTATCACTGTGACTATTGTTTATGTGTGCTTCTGGGGCAAGCTGAAGTCATGAAAGGTACTCTAAAATGAAAACTTGTCCTTGCTTTACTTTAATTTAATTCCATCTGTCTTGCAGTCCTCAACTTCACTTTGGGTACACTCTGACCAACGAGATGCTCAGCAGAGGCTCCTAGAGACCATCACTGTCCTCCAACGGTTGGCTGTCAGACTGTCTGGTCGAGCTGAAATGGTGGGGGCTGTTCGACAGGTGAGTATCACTGAATAACTGGACAAAAACAGTCCACACAAACCTCTCTTTCCCTAAAATGTCTCAAGTCCCAGCTACTCCCCCACCCCTCTCAATCTCCGCTATCTCCAGAGGACACATGTGCCCAGTCACCCTATTGACACTATAACTCACAGCACAGGTCTACCACCCTATGTGTAACATGTTTCAGCTGGACCACTATATTTATCCTGAGGTCCTGAAATTTCAGCTCTGTCCCCCAAAATTTGACTCCCTTCCCTACAGTGTATTCAGACCAGCCTTGAATTTCCTATTCATTATCAGAGAAAACTAATTGAAGTCACCTCTTGATCTTCACTTTTCTCAAAGTCAACTCCAATTTCATATCCATTCTCAGGCTGTGCGTGTCACTGGCAAGACCTGCATTTATTGTCCTTTCTCAGTTACTTTGAGAAACTGCCTTCTTGAAAAAATGTTTCTTGTTAGAACTGAGGGTCTTGCTTGGTCAATTGATGTAATAAGTTTAATAATAAGTATGCTAGGAAGTTTGATCATGTGACTTCAAGCAAATGTGAGATGAAAATGATCTTTTTCATACATCAAGTATTTGGGGTCTAGAAAGCACTGCCTGGAAGTGTAGGCGAAGCAGGTTTTATTGAGGCTTTCAGGAGGCATCAGATTATTATTTAACTAGAAGCAATATGCAGGGTTAAGAGGAAAAGGAAGGAAATTGATACTAAATTAAAATACCCAGAGAGCTGATGCAGATATGTTGTGCTAAATGACCTCGTTTTACATTGTAATAGACTCATAGAGATGTACAGCATGGAAGCAGACCCATCAGTCCAATTCATCCATGCCAACCAGATATCCTAAATTAATTTAATCCTTTTTGCCAGCGTTTGGCCCATATCCCTCTAAATGCTTCCTATTCATATACCCATCCTGATGACTTTTAAAAGTTGTAATTGTACCAGCCTCCACCACTTCCTCTGGCAGTTCATTCCTTACATGCACTACCCTCTGCATGATAAAGTTGCCCCTTAGGTCCCTTTTAAATCTTTCCCCTCTCACCTTAAACCTATGCCCTCTAGTTTTGGACTCCTCCACCCCGGGGAAAAGACCTTGTCTACTTACCCTATCCATGCACTTCATGATTTTATAAACCTCTATAAGGTCACCCCTCAGCCTCTGATGCTCCAGGGAAAATAACCCCAACCTATTCAGCCTCTCCCTATTATTCAAACCCTCCAACCCTTGCAAAATCGTTGTAAATCTTTTCTGAGCCCTTTAAAGTTTCACAACATCCTTCCTATAGCAGGGAGACCAAAATTGCACACGGTATTCTAACAGTGGCTTAACCAATGTCCTGTACAGCCGCAACATGATCTCCCAATTTCTATATTCAATGCACTGATCAATAAAAGCAAACATAACAAATGCCTTCTTCACTATCCGTCTACCTGCAGCTTCACTTTCAAGGAATTATGAGGCTGCTCTCCAAGGTCTCTTTGTTCAGCAACACTGCCCATGACCTTACAATTTAGCATACAAGTCCTGCCCTGATTTGCCTTTCCAAAATGCAGCACCTCACATTTAAATTAAACTCCGTCTGCCACTCCTCGGCCCATTGACCCATCCGATGAAGATCCCATTGTACTCTGAGGTAACTTTCTTTGCTGTCTATTACACCTCCAATTTTGGTGTCATCTGCAAACTTACTAACCATACCTCCAATGTTCACATCCAAATCATTTTTTATGAATGATGAAAAGCAGTAGACCCAGCACTGATCTCTGTGGCACACTGCTGATCACAGGCCTCCAGTCTAAAAAGCAACCCTCCACCACTACCTTCTGTCTTCAGCCTTTGAGCCAGTTCTGTATCCAAATGGCTAGTTCTCCCTGTATTCCATGTGATCTAACCTTGCTACCAGTCTACCATGAGGTACCTCGTCAAACGCCTTAGCACAAAGCCATGTTGATTATCCCTAATCAGTCCTTGCGTTTCCAAATACATTAAAATCCTGTCCCTCAGGATTCCCTCCAACAACTTGCCAACTTGATATAAGGCTCATAGGTCTATAGTTCCCTGGCTTTTCTTCACCACCTTTCTTAAATTGTGGCACCACGTTGGCCAACCTCCAGTCTTCCAGCACCTCACCTGTGGCTATCGCTGATACAAATATCTCAGTAAGGGGCCCAGCAATCACTTCCCCAGCTTCCCACGGAGTTCTCGGGTACATCTGATCAAGTCCCGGGAAGTTATCCACCTTTATATGTTTTAAGATGTTCAGCACCACCTCCTCTGTAATATGGACATTTTTCAAGATGCCACTATTTATTTCCCCATGTTCTCTATCTTCCATATCCTTCTCTATAGTAAACGCTGATGCAAAATGCTTGTTTAGTATCTCCCTCGTCTCCTGCTGTTCCACACATAGGCGGCTTTGCTGATCTTTAAGGGGTTCTATTTTCTTTGTTGAAGTTGTGTCTTCTGGAATTAAAGAGTTTTACTCCCAGTTTTATATTGGCAGCTTGTGTGTGAGAAGCTCAAAGAAACTAAATATCTCCAGTAAACCTGGGCAGGGAGATTAAGGATGGGTGATCTGAGGGAGGGGGTATCTGAGGGAAGGGGAACTAAAAATGTGAAAACAAGAGTGGAAAACCTGGCGGAAGTAAAAGCAAGGAAGAGAAAACAGAGTGGGGGTAGTTATTAGGCGAATAGAGAAGACATATAAAAACTTGCATTTATGTGGTGTCTTTCAGGATCACCAGACATCCAAAGCACTTTACTGTCAGTGAAAGACTTCATGATGTGCAGCCGTTAAAATAACATAGGAGCAAAGGAAGAAGGGAGACAGAATCCAACTAAACTAAAGGCGCTAAATGAATATTTTTCATCAGTATTCACACAGCAAAAAGACAATGTAGTCGAGGAGAATACTGAGATACAGGCTATTAGACTAGACGGGATTGAGGTTCATAAGGAGGAGGTGTTAGCAATTCTGGAAAGTGTGAAAATAGATAAGTCCCCTGGGCCGGATGGGATTTATCCTAGGATTCCCTGGGAAGCTACGGAGGAGATTGCAGAGCCTTTGGCTTTGACCTTTATGTCGTCATTGTCTACAGAAATAATGCCAGAAGACTGGAGGAAAGCAAATGTTGTCCCCTTGTTCAAGAAGGGGAGTAGAGACAACCCTGGTAATTATAGACCAGTGAGCCTTACTTCGGTTGTGGGTAAAGTGTTGGAAAGGATTATAAGAGATAGGATTTATAATCATCTAGAAAGGAATAATTTGATTAGGGATAGTCAACACGGTTTTGTGAAGGGTAGGTCATGCCTCACAAACCTTATTGAGTTCTTTGAGAAGGTGACCAAACAGATGGATGAGGGTAAAGCGGTTGATGTGGTGTATATGGATTTCAGTAAAGCGTTTGATAAGGTTCCCCACGGCAGGCTATTGCATAAAATACGGAGGCATGGGATTGAGGGTGATTTAGCGATTTGGATCAGAAATTGGCTAGCTGTAAGAAGACAGAGGGTGGTGGTTGATGGGAAATGTTCATCCTGGAGTTCAGTTATTAGTGGTGTACCGCAAGGATCTGTTTTGGGGCCACTGCTATTTGTCATTTTTATAAATGACCTGGATGACGGCACAGAAGGATGGGTTAGTAAATTTGCGGATGACACTAAAGTCAGTGGAGTTGTGAATAGTGCGGAAGGATATTGCAGGTTACAGAGGGACATAGATAAGCTGCAGAGCTGGGCTGAGAGGTGGCAAATGGAGTTTAATGCAGAAAAGTGTGAGGTGATTCACTTTGGAAGGAGTAACAGGAATACAGAGTACTGGGCTAATGGTAAGATTCTTGGTAGTGTGGATGAGCAGAGAGATCTCGGTGTCCATGTGCATAGATCACTGAAAGTTGCCACCCAGGTTGATAGGGTTGTTAAGAAGGCGTACGGTGTGTTAGGTTTTATTAGTAGAGGGATTGAGTTTTGGAGCCATGAGGTCATGTTGCAGCTGTACAAAACTCTGGTGCGGCCGCACTTGGAGTATTGCATCCAGTTCTGGTCGCCGCATTATAGGAAGGATGTGGAAGCATTGGAAAGGGTGCAGAGGAGATTTACCAGGATGTTGCCTGTTATGGAGGGAAGGTCTTATAAGGAAAGGCTGAGGGACTTGAGGCTGTTTTCGTTAGAGAGAAGGTTAAGAGGTGACTTAATAGAGACATACAAGATGATCAGAGGATTAGATAGGGTGGACAGTGAGAGCCTTTTTCCTCGGATGGTGATGGCTAGCACAAGGGGACATAGCTTTAAATTGAGGGGTGATAGATATAGGACAGATGTCAGAGGTAGGTTCTTTACTCAGAGAGTAGTAAGGGCGTGGAATGCCCTGCCTGCAACAGTAGTAGACTCGCCAACTTTAAGAGCATTTAAATGGTCATTGGATAAACATATGGATGATAATGGAATAGTGTAGGTTAGATGGGCTTCAGATTGGTTTCACAGGTCGGCGCAACATCGAGGGCCGAAGGGCCTGTACTGTGCTGTAATGTTCTATGTTCTATGTTCTAAACTCTCTATACTCTTTCCCTAACCTTATGATTTCTCCCTGCACTCTGAAGCCCTCTCTCCCTCATGTCTCAATAACTGCAAATGGACTCATTACTCAATGTGATACATAACTATAGAGACCTGTATTGCTAAATCACAACTTCTTCCAATGGTTTTGTTAAGCAGCTAAATATACCATTGGCTTCAATGGCTTTCGAGTGCCACAGAGTTTCTTTTTGTCATCTTATATCAACGCATGAGGAGAGGTGCAAACATTGCCTCTGACCTCCATACCTCTCAAAAGGGCAATCATTCACCGAATGTAGAACACATCACCACCTTTAATATCAGCTGTATCATGGGATTAAGCCACTCAACATTTGATGCTCATGTTAAAGAATTCGAAAAGCTTTCATGTTTGAAAGCTCCAATTGCCCAACTTTCCCTTGCCCCAGCCCACTTTTCATAGCTTTTTGCAGGAGAGAGTTGCTGATTTCCATCCTTTGTGTAAAGAAGTACTTCCTAATATTTCCCATGGACTCCTAGCTCCAATTTTAAAATTATATCCACCCTCCCACTTGAAAAAAAATTCTGTTTGTTTGCTTTATTAAATTCTTAACATTTTAAATACCTCCATCTGATCACTTATCTCCCATATTCAAGGGAATGCAAACCAGGTTTATGTAACCTGTCCTCAAAATTTCACTTATAAGATAACAAGGTGTAGAGCTGGATGAACACAGCAGGCCAAGCAGCATCAGAGGAACAGGAAAGCTGACGTTTCGGGTCTGGACCCTTCTTCGGCAGTTCCTACTATCTCTCAAAATTTCACTGTTTATTCTTGATTTTAGCTCCTTTTAACAGAGCCTGCTGTGCCTTAGATGGTCATACTCTCACCTCTGAGTCTCAAGGTCATGGATGCATGTTCCACCCCAAGTTTTGTGCACAAAATCTAGGCTGTCAAATGCAGTGCTGAGGGAGCATAGTATTGTTGCAGAGTGTATTTTGAATGTTGCATACACTGAGGTCACGTTAATTCATTTGAAATGAATATAAAAGCTCTCACGGCAGTGTTTTCACAAAGCGGGCAGAGAGATTTCTTTAGTGTCCTGGCCTATCTCAGTCAACTTCACAATGACAGATAATCTTGTCATAATCACACCACTGTTTGTAAAGGTTTGCAATGCGCAATTTGGGAGCTGTGTTTCCTACATTATAACAGTGACTATGCTTTAAACTAATGGCTGTGAAGCACTTTGAAATACATAGTACTCATGAAAAGTGCAATGTAAACAAGAGTCTTCCTTGTTGACATCATTTTGAGAGACTCAGTTTCATGGCAGCTGGCTAATGGGCGAGCAGACAACATTTTGTCAAAAACAAATTATTATTTTTGATACCATATCAATGCAACCCTTTGAAATTAAAGTATCTTTTCTGAGTTGTAACACCCAGAACAGAATGCAGTTAGTCCAGTGAGATCTAACCGAATCACTATTCAAGTCTAGCAAAACTTCCAACTCTTTGTATTCCAGTCCTTCCGAGGAAAAAACTAATGTTATCCTTTTAAACTATTTTTGTCCCTGACAAAATAGATTTTAATTATTTCTGTATTCAGATCCTTAAATGTCTCTGCTCCTCCGGTTCCCAGCTACTTAGGTCTAAAGTGGATGACCTTGCACTTTGTCATGTTGAACACTATCTGCCACAGTTTTATCCTTTTATTTAATCAAAAATGTCTTGTACTTAGCACCTTCAATGCAGTAAATCATTCCAAACCACTTCACAGGAACTTTATCAAATAAAATTTGACATCAAGCCACATGAAATGATAAAGGACAAGTGGCCAAATTTTTTTTTCTATTCATTTTTGTGGGATATGGACATCGCTGGCTGGCCAGCATTTCTTACCTATCCCTAGTTGCTCTTAAGAAGGTGGTAGTGAGCTGCCTTCTTGAGCTGCTGCAGTCTACCTGCTGTGGGTTGACCCACAATGCCATTAGGGAGAAAATTCCAGGATTTTGACCTGGTGACAGTGAAGGAACGGCGATATACTTCCAAATCAGGATGGTGACTGGCTTGGAGGGGAACTTGGAGGTGGTGGTGTCCCATATGTCTGCTGCACTTATGCTTCTAGATGGAAGTGGTCGTGGGTTTGGAAGGTGCTGTCTGAACATCTTTGGTGAATTTCTGCAGTGCATCTTGTAGATAGTACACACTGCTGCTACTGAGTGTTGGTGGTGGAGGGAGTGGATGCTTGTGGATGTAGTGCCACTCAAGCGGGCTGCTTTGTCCTGAACGGTGTCAAGCTTCTTGAGTGTTGTTGGGGCTGCACTCATCCAGGCAAGTGGGGAGTATTCCATCACACTCCTGACTTGTGTCTTGTAGGTGGTGGACAGGCTTTGAGGAGTCAGGAGGTGAGTTGTTCGCCACAGTACACATAGCTTCTGGCCTGCTCTTGTAGTCTGTGTTTATGTGGTGAGTCCAGTTGAGTTTCTGGTCAGTGATAACCCCAGGATGTTGATAGTGAGGGATTCAGGACATCAGTCAAATGCAGCCTTGATGTCAAGGGCTGTCACTCTCACCTCACCTCTGGAATTCACTCTTTTGTCCATGTTTGAACTAAGGCTGTAATGAGGTCAGGAGCTGAGTGGCCCTGGCGGAACCCAAACTGGGCGTCAGTGAGCAGGCTATTTCTGAGCAGGTGCTGCTTGATAGCACTGTTGATGACACCTTCCATCACTTTACTGATGATTGAGAGGAGACTGATGGGGCGGTAACTGGCCAGGTTAGATTTGTCCTGCTTTTTGTGTACAGGACATACTTGGGCAATTTTCTACATTGCTGAGTAGATAACAGCTTGGCTAGGGGAGGGTAAGTTCTGGAGCACAAGTCTTCAGTGCTATTGCTGGAATGTTGTCAGGGCTGGTAGCCTTTGTAGTATCCAGTGTCTCCAGCCTTTTCTTAATGTCACATGGAGTGAATCAAATTGGGTGAAGACTGGTATCTGTAATGCTGGGGACCACTGGAGGAAGCCGAGATGGATCATCCACAGGGCACTTCTGGCTGAAGATTGCTGCGAATGCTTCAGCTTTATCTTTTGCACTGATGTTTTGGGCTCTTCCATCATTGAGGATGGGGATATTTGTGGAACCTCCTCCTCCAGTGAGTTGTTTAATTGTACACCACCATTCATGACTGGATGTGGCAGGACTGCAGAGCTCAGATCTGATCCGTTGGTTGTGGGATCACTTAGCTCTGTCTATCACTTGCTGCTTTCACTGTCTAGCGTGCAAGCAGTCCTGTTTGTTGGCTTCACCGGGTTGATACCTCATCTTCAGGTATGCTTGGTGCTGCTCCTAGCATGCCCTCCTACATTCTCCATTGAACTGGGGTTGATCCCCTGGCTTGATGGTAATGGTTGAGTGGGGGGGCCGGGCCATGAGGTTACAGGTTGTGCTGGAGTACAATTCTGCTGCTGTTAATGTTCCAGAGCACCTCACGAATGCCAGTCTTGAGTTGCTAGATCTGTGTGAAGTCTGTCCCATTTAGCACAGTGATAGTGCCCACAACACGATGGAAGTTATTGTCAATGTGAAGTTGGGACTTCATCTCCACAAGGACTGTGCGATGGTCACTCTTACCAATACTGTCCTAGACAGATGCAACTGCAGCTGGCAGATTGGTAAGGATGAGGCCAAGTATGTTGTTCCCTCTTGTTGGTTCCCTCTCCTCCTGCCGCAGACTCAGACTCACAGTTATGTCCTTTAGGACTCAACCAGCTCGATCAGTAGTACTGCTGCTGAGCCAGTCTTGGTGGTGGACATTGAAATCCCCCACCGAAGAATATTTTGTGCCGTTGCCAACCTCAGTGCTTCCTCTAAGTGTTGTTCAACATGGAGGAATACTGATTCATCAGCTGAGGGAGGATGGTATTTGGTAATTAGCAAGAGATTTCCTTGCCCATGTTTAACCTGAAGCCATGAGACTTCATGGGGTCCGGAGTCAGTGTTGAGGACTCCCAGAGCAACTCCCTCCCAACTGTATACCACTGTCCCGCCCCCTCTGCAGGGTCTGTCCGGCTGGTGAGACAGGACGTATCCAGGGATAGTGATGGTGGTGTCTGGGACATTGTCTGTAAGGCATGATTCTGTGAGTATGACTATGTCAGGCTGTTGCTTAACTAGTCTGTGAGATAGCTCTCCCAATTTTGGCATGAACCCCCAGATGTTAGCGAGGAGGACTTTGCAGGGTTGACAGGGTGTTTCTGCTGTTGTCTTTTCTGGCGCCTAGGTCGATGCCAGGTAATGCGTTCGGTTTCATTTCTTTGAGACTTTGTAGTGATTGGTACAACTGAGTGGCTGGTTAGGCCATTTCAGAGGACAGTTGAGAGTCAACCACATTGCTGGAGTCACATGTCGGCCAGATCAGGTGAGATTGGTAGATTTTGTTCTGTGAAGGGCATTAGTGAACCAGATGGGTTTTTCCAACAATCGGCAATGATTTCATGGTGATCAGTAGATTCTTAATTCCAGACAATTTTTTTAATTATTGAATTCAAATTCAATAATTTAAACCTGGGTCTCCAGAACATTAGCTGAGTTTCTGGATTAATAGTCGAGCGATAATACCACTAGGTCATTGCCTTCCCTACTAAAAGGTTTATTCAAATAGCTGGAATTTAAGAAGGACAGAGAGGTAGTGTCAGAGAAGCAAAGGGAAGGAATTTTAGAGTTTAGGACTCAGTTAGCTGAAGGCACAGGGCTAATGGTGAAGCAAATAAGAATTGGAAATACAAAAGGACCAGAATTGGAGAAACACAGATAATCTAGCAGTGCCTTTTTTTGCACGGTGTCTTTAAGAGTGTCTGTAGTTAATCTGAGGATATGTTCCATGTTTACAGGAGAAACGAATGTCCAAGGCCACGGAGGTGATGATGCAGTACGTGGAGAACTTGAAGAGGATGTATGAGAAGGATCATGCTGAGCTAACAGAATTCAAGAAGCTGGCCAATCAGAATTCAAACCGTACTTATGGCCCATACGGAGATAGTAGTGGTAGGAACACATGGTCCTCTCTGCGTTTCCGGGACTGCCCTGATAAAGCCTTTTGGTTTGATCACTAGAGATCTCACTCCAATATATGCTTGTCAAGACTCACAGGACTCAAATGGCCATGCAATGAGTTCCTCATCTTGGTCTGGTTGCTGCGAGAAGCTTTGCAGCAGAAATCATGACCTTCCCATGCAACGAGGTAGAGAGAATCAGTTTCATGTCAGCTAGGCAGCATAATGTGAAAAACAAACCCCCATGGTCTAATCCTGGTTTTATTCTAGTCTTATCCTAGTGTTGTTCTGAACTTGATGTTATATAAAGATAATCCTTTTATTCTTTTGGTGTAATTCTGTTTTATTCTAGGGTTAATGCTGGTGTTTTCTTGCTGGTCTTAATCCTGAACCTGTTGTTATCCTGGTGGCATCCCTTTGTCATTTTAGTGTAATTCTAGCTTTATATACCAGTGTTAATCCTGTTGTTATCCTGTACCTGGTTTTACCCTGATCTAATCTGGTACCCAAGTCAATGTACTGCATCCACATACTTTCCTTCTAATTATTTAGCTAACACAGTTCCATCCATGATCTAAAGGGTTATTAAAGGGTATGGGAAGCAAGCAGGAGAGTGGCAAACTGGATAAAGGTATTAAAAGGAATGGTAGTTACCAGGAGAGTAGGATTAGATTGGATGGAATAAAACGCTAGTTATTTCTATCTCCTTCTTCAAAATTGGCATTCAGTCAGTCACTGAAATCCTTGAATTAAATTTAAATAAAGTGGTGGATGCTAGGTGAGCAGGAAGTATTCAGGAAGAAAGAGTGCTCAGTGAGTTGAGAACAAGTTATCAAAATTGGGAAAGGGTTGTTGTTGCTTTGGGACTGTACTTTTGTCTCTCACACTGGGATTATAACTGGGCAACTTCAAAGAAAGTTCCAAGAGAAACAAAACAAGTGACGGGAACTCATCCAACTGTTACATTCTTTAAATTCTGCAGGCAGCCAGCCTACAACAAACCAGGCATGAAAATGGTTGTAGTATCAATTCATCAACAATAGGTGGCAGAATTGAACTATCCAAAGGAACCCCATAGTTTCCGTAATATCCCCAGGTAGGACACCCCCTTCATCCTGGCTTGCACTCACCCTTTATTGTACTATAGCAAAACTCAAGTGTTACACCTCACTGAGTTAATGCATGGGAAATCAAGTCCTGCTATTCCTGGAGCCGTCTCAAAAGTTAAAGATTTTATAAAAAGTACACAAAGTTCCCCAATTTACTTATCTTTTAGACCAAGGTTGACAGAAATTACAGACCAGGTTTATATTCTAACAAGAATGACTATTTATTACAAATAAATAGATTCTAATTGCAGATAAACAATTATGAACTGGTGACATATAGCTATTAGTTAAAATTCCAACCCCACCATAAACCACACCCCCCCCACCCCTGCACACACATATAGACACAAACAAAGGGAAAAAAGGGTGTTATGAGCGGAGGGAAAGACTGGGAAAGTAATCCAATGGATCCTGTCCCCAAGGTTCGCTGAGATGGTGTATTGTTGGGCTTTAAGTATCTAATGGGCTCATGAAGGTTTGATCAAAATTAATACAAGAAGACACATGCACTTTAATATGAAGCAAATTTATTAGCTTAATCTACTTAATATATTAGAGACATTTGCAAACTAATGAGTGAATCTATTAGCTTAAACTACAAAACATACTAATATATACAAATAAGTGACTCTCACACTGCCTTCTCTCCATTGGGGACTTTGGTAACGGTGGCAGCTGGAGTTCTATCTCAGATTTCATAGCACTGGTCTCGCGAACTCCAGCCCACTGGTAAACAGTCCAATGAGCAAAGAGGGGCAAAGTCCCTGATATTAATACTATTCTGAATCTAAGGTTATGTGCTGAAGCCCCACTTTGTAATAACTTCAGTACTTTTCCAGCCTTCAAAAATAGATGGAAAACAAGTCTAGGTGGCCCCATGTAAACTGTACAAATAGATGGTTCCCATAGACCCTCAAGGTCAGGCGGTTTTCCCCTTAGTCAGAACAGGCTATTTTTACATTAGGCCTGTTTTTCATGTACTTCTCTACTTTATTTCAACTACTCATTGTCATGTCCAATTAACCCTTAACAATTGACCCTTTAATGGTTTGGTTTGAAGATATTGTTTTTAAACTCGACACTGCAGATGGTCCTTTTGTCCTGTCAGGACCTGCTGCTCTTTGGTCTTCCTTCCCCAGGTACTTCCACGTGCTTGCAGGAGGCACAGGGTGACTGGTTCACGCTTACAAAAGTCTCTGACTTCTTGGTCACAGTTTACAGCAACTTATGAGGGAAAAACAAACTGGCTTTCTTAAGGTTTGAGGTGGTTTTTACTCCAGAGAAAAGAGACAGGTCCTTTCCTTTCTGGAGGGAGGAGGTGTGGGGGCAGGTGTAGCACTTCCTGCGGTTGCAGGGAAAAGTGCCGGGTGTGGTGGGGCTGGAGGGGTGTGTGGAGCAGACAAGGGAGTCACGGAGAGAGTGGTCCCTCCGGAAACCTTGCTTAGCTGTTCTTTTGGGTAGTGCGTTCCAGATTACAACAGTTCACTGTGCAAACTTCTTCTCTTGTCTCCCCTCTACCATTTTTGTCAGTTACATTACATCTGTGTTCTCTGGTTACTGAGCTTCCTGTCATTAGAAACAGTTTCTCCTTATTGAGTCTATCACATCCATTCATGATTTTAAACACCTCCATCAAATCTCCTGAACCTTCTTTGCTCTAAAAACAATTGCGCTGGCTTTCTCAAATCTTCATTTTTGGCTTACCCAATTGCAAAAGTTGAGGCCATGAGTTATTTCTTTGAAATGTATTATCCTCGCTGATTCAATGTGATTCCAATAAATTCAATCATAGTTTTTTTTAAAGGCCTAATGAAAGGGAGTTCAGCGTTAGGTGACTGGATGGCTACACACACAATCCCTGAGAATTGGTATCCACCCTTTATATTCAGGCCACTCAGCTCCATTTGTGCTTCTATCTCTCATTTGCTGCATTGTCCTGTTTGGAATTGGCAGACCTACGGGACAAAGGGGACTGGGAGCAGAGCTACTTGGAAAGTTTTTTCAAAGAGGCTGCATGCATACAATAGGCCAAGATCCTCCTATATTGCTGCCTGATTGGGAAAGGGCTGTACGTAGTGCTGATGTCTCAGTGAACAATCCTTCATCAATGTATTTGGGTCTCAGCAAATTTAGTTATATGGGAATTAATGTGAAGATTGAAATTTACAGTAACCGTGGCAATGAGATAAAATTTCAAGGTACAATATGTGCCCCCATCTTCAAGAATTGACTGTTTTGTATTTTGTTCTCAGATGATGGAGTTCCCAGAACAGCCCGATCAATGTCCCTCACATTGGGAAAGGTAGGATTGCCAAATCATGGAAGCCTGTCTATTTTCACGTTGACAAGGTCATTGCAGTATCCAGCCATCCTTAAAACAGTTATGAAGTACCCAGCTGCCATTCCAGCTGTTGAAGTTTCTCCATCCAAATCTACATCATTTTATTGTAACCTACAAATGTTTGATAAGCAAGCAAAAGGAACTTTTACTGTATCAGAAAATATATTATTGAATCAGGAGGATGTTCCTGAGCTCTTAATAGCAATGAAGTACTTTTGAAGAGTAGTTACTGTTGCAATTAGGAAAGACAGCGACCAATTTATGCACAGCAAGATCCCACAAACCGCAATGTGATAAATGACAGGCCATCTGGATATTTTGGTAATAATTACTGTTAGATAAGTATTACCCTGGGTACTCCCTTGCACTTCTTTGAATGGCAGTTGTGGGATCCTTTATGCTAATCAGAGAGGTAAGGTGGGCCTTTCCTTTAATGTCTCTGTCTTTAGATAAATGATGATCTAGTGGATATAACTGTCCTCATTAGTAAAATGCCCCTAATGTTCACTAAAATAGAGGTTGGACTCATCCATATACGTACAAGTCACAGCCTTAGATTCCTCCTTCAGTCTAACTAACCTCTTTCTGAGTAGATCCATGAGCTATGGCTACCCTGTGCATTTAATTTGGAGCCAGCTCTCTGTTTTTATATCAAAGCTCGTGATCTAATCAACTATATGATGTGACCTCTCTACACTACAGCAATGAGTACAACTTGCAAACACTTCTAGACTTCCCATGCTGGTGAAAGGTGCTGTGTAAATGCAAGTTCTTCCTCCTTTTTCAAGTTGACCTCTTTGTTAATGGAAAAGGGTAGTGTTTAAGATTCACTTTGAGCCACTCAAACTTGCTGCTGCTTCCAAAGTGAAATGTAGGAACCCCGCTTGGGGACAGAGGGATAATAGGAAAGAATTCAAGTTAAATATTTTTAAACAATTTTTCTTAATAGTATACTTTAAATGTTTCATGAACCATGAAGCAACAGCACGGGAAATAATTCAGTCCTTTGTATCTGTCCTGGCTGTTTGAAAGAGCTATCCAATTAGTCCCCTGTCCTCCTGCTCATTCCCCATTGACCTGTAAAATGCTCCCTTGGCTAAAATTGCACAAGTAAAATTGCCTCTTATATTTTAGTGTGTTTATTACTGAATTTTTAGTATTCATCAAAAGAAACATTGATTTCACTGAAGCTGGGTTGGTGCTCAGTAGAAAGGCTCCATGACTCACTGACATTTAGCTATGTGCTGTGGTTGCTTAGTTTTTAATATCACGATTGAGGAGAATGTAAAAAGCATAGAAAGTGAAGAATATCATTGTGATTGTTCCAACTTGTTGGGGACAGTACATTGCTGGTTTACCTTCTGAGACACGTCAGTATAGAAGTGACAGCCAGTAATAGTAAGCATTCAACACATCTCTAGCTGATTCCTCTGTCTGGCTATTTCAGGAGAAGCGTTAATCTATTTATACTGAAGAGGGTTTAAAATTTCTGTAAAATAGATGGGAAATTTTGCACTAGTACATTAAACAATGTTTCACTAATAGCAACACAGTCCTTCCACCTGGTAAACAATTTTTCACCTTGGTTGTAATCTATTTACATGGTCACAGGCTGAAACATTAATATTGATAATTGCAGAGTAAAAGCAGTGGCGGTGAAATTGTCCTTGAGCAATAGCTCATTAGGCAACTGTGTCAATTGTTCAATTTTCTTTATAAAATGTTAACACCCAGTTTTGCCTAAGATTTCACCCCTGTTGACTTGTTGCTCAGTGTTACGAATTTAACCATTTCAATATTATGTGTGTTATGTTTTGTTTCAGACTGTACCTCGCAGGAGGGTCAGTGTAGCAGTGGTTCCAAAGTTTATTAACTTTCCCGGGCAGCCTGCCATCGCTACCGTGGTAGGTCAACAACTTGCTTATTATCAGAATATAAGGGAAAAGGTGACAACTCATATAAGCCATATAACAAATATTGTAAATGTATTTAATTAAATATAATTAATTTTACTAGAAATACTTTATTTGGCCCAACAGGTCCATGCCAGTGCTTATGCTTTGCACAAACATCTTCCTTTCTAATTTCATCTCTCCCTGCAAGCATAACTTTCGACTCCTTTCTCCCTCATGTATTTCTCTAGGTTTCCCTTAAAAGTATCTGTGCTATTTGCCTCAGCTACTCCATATGGTAAGAGGCGACATATTTTTAGCATTCTTAGAATACCACCCCCTTATTTGTCCGACTAAAATGTATAATCTTACATGCATTATTTTAAAATTACATGCACAGATTGCAAGTGCCTTAACGTTCCCTTATATTTTGTTACAGTTATTTTTGATAAATGCCTGTTCTACATTAGAAACCTGTGGGAGAATGAAGGACTGTGACTATTAACTCCTTCTTATTTTGTTTGCTATTTTCAAAATTAGTCACTCTGCTTTTTATCTTTCCTAAATGTAATTTTGATCGGGTGGCATGGTGGCTTAGTAGTTAGCACTGCTGCCTCACAGCGCCAGGGATTCGCGCTCGATTCCACCCCCGGGTGGCTGTCTGTGTGGAGTTAGCACATTCTCCCTGTGTCTGCATGGGTTCCCTCTGGGTGCTCCGGTTTCCTCCCACAGTCTAAGGATGTGCAGGCTGTGTTGATAGGACATGCTAAATTGCCCATAGTATCCGGGGATGTTTAGGCTGGGTGAATTAGCCATGGGGAATGCAGGATTATAGGGGTATGTAGAGGGATGGGTCTGGATGGGATGCTCTTCGGAGGGCCGCTGTAGGGATTCTATCAATAATGTTGAAATATCACAGAAATCTTCAAATGTTTGATGGATGAAAGGGAACATTTTTGATTTATAAAGGGAGACAACAGTGAGGGTGAGGAATTGGGTAACTCAACAGAAAAGCTGGCATACAGACAATATGCCAAAAGTTGATCTGATGAACATAAACGTGTTTGTAAAAATGAAAAGTGGGATGTGTTATAGAATGGAGCTGTGTGGTTAAAGGAAGAAAATGAAATTACATTGATACTTAGAAGAGAAACATATGATTTAGTTAGGACTTTGAATACTATAAGTAACATGAGGAATATACAAAGATTACTGGAAAATGAAAAACATATTAGTAAACAACATAAAAGAAAAATAGGGATTTTAATTAGCGTTTTCAAAAGTGAAAGAAGAACTATAAGAGGTCAAGATTACAAGGGGTGAAGGAAATATCTATTTATGGAGAGCTAAAGAGACAGCAATGAAGAGTAAATAACTTTTTGCAAATGATGACAGAGCATTGATATGGATTAATTGAAGCAATATACAGCTGAAATTTTAAAAATGGTTCTGAAAGCAGTAGCAGATTCAAGTTGGATTAGTCACTGGATCCTGAAGGTTGCCCCCATGTCTGTTGAAAGCAAGGGCACGGACAGAAATCACTGGTCCCAGTGCGGCTTCTGGCCTATGCCCCCAATCTTATCCCACCCCTGACCCAAGTTATGGTTATTGGGCCATGAGGTATCCCCTTTCCTGGGTCGTGATTGAAAGAAGTCACAGAGGAGATAATAGAGGTTCTGACCATAATTCTTTTTTGGCAGTCCTGAAATACACAAACTGTCAGCTTCCTTCAGGGGTGGAGAGCAGGATTGACAGAATTAATACCAGATTAGTTAGTGCAATACCACTTTAGGAGAAACAGTTTTTATTTATAATTCAAGATGCAATCAAGAAAAATTCACATTTGCAATGCATGGGTTAAACAAGAATTACTTTTGTCAAAAACAAGTCATGTTTAGCAATTTTAACAGAAATTTGTGAAGTTAGTAAGTAAAAGAAATACAGTAAATCCTGGATCTTCCTTTCTAACAGGGTAAACCTAAACCACATGGATTATGTGGTTCCAGAAAGTAGCTCACCGCTATCACCACCTTCCCAAGGCCAATTAGGAATCAGTAATAAATACTAGTCTGGACAACAATGTTGAATTGTGTGAATGAACAAAAGAAATCAAACGTTGTACAGAATTAGGGTTTTGAACATGAAATACAAGGTGATGTGAGATAGTAGGAACTGCAGATGCTGGAGAATCCGAGACAACAAGGTGCAGGGCTGGATGAACACAGCAGGCCAAGCAGCA